TAAATAAATAAATAAATAAATAAATAAATAAATAAATAAATAAATAAGCATTCCTCATTTGTAAAATCAATATCAATAGGTTAAAAAATGTATATCTACACAAGTTCAGTCACACAAGAATTTAAAGCATTCTGGAAGATACCACACAAATGCTGGGTTTACTAATTCCTCACTTTTTAAAAATGGTCATTTCCTAGCCAGTGGTGGTACACGCCTTTAATTCCAGCACTCAGGAGGCAGAGGCAGGTGGATGTCTGTGACTCTGAGACCAGCCTGGTCTACAGTATGTGTTCCAGGAGAACAGCGCTACACAGAGAAGCCCTGTCTTGTGGGGGAGGAGGAGTCATTTCTTTCACATGTAAGCATAATGTTCTAAGCAGAATCGTATTTCTTCAGTGACTATGAACCTTGACACTTCTACTGCTTACTTTTGTTACCGCAGGAGCCAGCCACGATAAGCTAAGTAGAAGCAGACCACCCAAAGGAAGTTCTTTACTTCCAACCATTATCACCTGCCAGTGTGGGACTCAGCCATTGGTAAGTTTAATGGAGGCCTGAGTCTCAGTAGTATACCCTGAAGCAATACTTGGTTGTAGGAAGAACCACAAACCAGAGCACCACCCAAGAACAGACCATCCAAAGGAAATGCCTAATGCCGTAGATAGGACCACCTGCCAGCACACTCCTCAGGACATCCCTAGACAAATGTTAGCCAGTCAGGGGTTCTGAACCCCAGAAACCCCTCACCCCCACCTTTACTACTAGAGAACCCTATTCTAACTGAACTCGGGACTCTCTGTTTATTCCAATATGTTGGATGTGCAGAGAGAACGAGTTTGCAAACCTGCATAAAATAAAGGCTGTTTGCTTTTTACATACAAGACTCGGTTTCCTTGTTGGCTTTTGGGGGACACTGAGGATTTGGGCATACCAGTTACTGGGGATGTCTTATACAAAATCACCATTTCTCCTTTCCCATTCCCAAAGTTGGCCATCAAGAATTCAGGGCACATCTTGAGTGTAGTCAGCAGTTTCCAACCATGGTCAAGGTCATGGTGATAACGAGGTCACACTGCCAGATCACAACTCACCCAGAACGGAGCCATGAACACTTGTGGGGGCATCTCCCACACTGACCTAACTAGGCCATTGCCTTTGCTTTCCTCTGCCAAAGAATGAGAGGAATGCCACCCCTTCCACCCAGGGTGCTGGACTTCAGATCTGTGTTCTTTTCTCCAAAAGACCGTCCTTGTGCTGTTACATGGGAAAACAAGAATTGCCAGCCAACCCTCCCCAGGCTCCGGGATAATTTGTGTCTCTGAATCACACCATGGTCGTGTTAGTCATTCGGTCTTCACCACAATTACGCCGACATCCCACACTGCTTGTCTTAACTAGCCAACATGTGAGCATCAGGGACGTCACACGGAAATTCAGGTGGAGTCATGCTTCTCGGGGACAATGTGGAAACCCCGTCAAACCAGGTCTGATGGCTACTGGCTGGTAGTCCCTTCGAAACCGGGCAAGTGACCTTTCATGTGCCACACCTCTTCATTTAAATATTAATTTTAAAATAAACTAACTTTTATTTGTATGTACATGTGTGTGCCAGCATGAGTTTATGTGCATAGATGCCCAAGGAGTCTTGAAGACAGATTCCCCTAGATCAGGCGTTAGAGGTGAATCCCCCAGAGCTAGAGTTACAAGCAGTTGTGAGCTTGGTGTATACGTCTGGAACCAAGGCTTGGTCTTCTGCAAGTGCTCTTAACCACAGAGCCGTCTCCCCAGCCCCACCACAGCCCTTTCT